GGGCCCCGCCGCCGCCCTATAGGCGACGCCCTATAGGGGATGGCCTGTAGGCGACGCCCTATAGGCGTTGGGGTGTGCCGTCCCCCTGCAGATTTCTACAACCCCCGGCGCGACGCCGAGCCGTCCCACCGCTCCGACTGTCCCTGCTGTCACCCGCCGCCGGAGCGGGAGGGCGCAGACCCCCAGGAGGAGGAGGATGAAGACCCCGAGGAGGAGGAGGATGAAGACCCCGAGGAGGAGGAGGAGGAGGAGGAAGACCCCGAGGAGGAGGAGGAAGACCCCGAGGAGGAGGAGGGTGGTGAGGAGGAAGATGGAGGCCCCAAGGAGGATGAAGACCCTGAGGAGTGTGGTGAAGATGGAGGCCCCAAGGAGGAGGAAGGTGATGGTGAGGAAGGTGGAGGCCCTGAGGAAGAGGAGGGAGGTGACACTGAGTAGGAGAGAGGTGACACTGAGGGGGGAAGATGGAGACCCCTGAGGAGGAGGAGGGTGGTGAGGAGGAAGACGGAGACCCCGAGGAGGATGAAGACCCTGAGGAGGAGGAGGAGTGTGGTGAAGATGGAGGCCCCAAGGAGGAGGAAGGTGATGGTGAGGAGGAGGATGGAGACCTCGGGGAAGAGGAAGGAGGTGATGCTGAGAAGGAGAGGTGACACTGAGGGGGGAAGATGGAGGCCCTGAGGAGGAAGAGGATGGTGAGGAGGAAGATGGAGACCCTAAGGAACAAGACTCTGAGGAGGAGGAAGGTGAAGATGGAGACCTTGAGGAGGATGGAGACCACGAGAAGGATGGTGATGAAGATGGAGACACCACGGAGGACAGAGACAGTGAGGAGGAAGGTGATAACGAGGAGGAGGATGGAGATGCTGAGGAGGAAGGTGATGGTGAGGAGGCAGATGGAGAGGCTGAGGAAGAAGATGGAGACACTGAGAAGGAGGATGGTGATGAACACCATGAGGAAGACGATGGACACCATGAGGAAGAGGATGGACACCCTGAGAGGGAAGATGATGAGAAGGAGGAAGATGATGATGACGATGAAGATGGATTTGGGGCAGGAAACGGGCTGAATGGGGCTTCCAGGCACCGAGACAGCCTCTCAGCCTTCCTCCCCCCTCCCCTCCTCCTCCTCCTCCTCCCCCCTCCCCTGCCCCGGACGCCGGGGTCCCCAATAAACCCTCTCCCCTCGGCACTGGCTGCCGCTTTAATGAGGGCAGCACTGGCTGCAGCTTTAATGAGGGCAGCGCCCCGCTCCGCTAACGAGGGGGCCCTAACGAAGCCAAACGGGGTGGGGGGATCAGGAACCCCAATGTCCTGGGTGGGTGGGGTGGGCGCCCCAATGTCCAAGTGAGGGACCCAGGTGTCCCGGAGCACCTTGACCTCCATGACGATGAACGTCCAACGTGGGGGTTCTCTGGGTCCACCTTGGCCTCCATGACCATCAACGTCCAACAGGGGGGGTCTTCAGGTCCACCTTGACCTCCATGATGATGAACGTCCACCATGGGGGGTTCTCCAGGAGCACCTTGACCTCCCTGATGATCAATGTCCAACATGGGGGTCTCCAGGTCCACCTTGACCTCCCTGATGATCAATGTCCAACATGGGGGTCTCCAGGTCCACCTTGACCTCCCTGATGATCAATGTCCAACATGGGGGTCTCCAGGTCCACCTTGACCTCCCTGATGATCAATGTCCAACATGGGGGTCTCCAGGTCCACCTTGACCTCCCTGATGATCAATGTCCAACATGGGGGTCTCCAGGTCCACCTTGACCTCCCTGATGATCAATGTCCAACATGGGGGTCTCCAGGTCCACCTTGACCTCCCTGATGATCAATGTCCAACATGGGGGTCTCCAGGTCCACCTTGACCTCCCTGATGATCAATGTCCAACATGGGGGTCTCCAGGTCCACCTTGACCTCCCTGATGATCAATGTCCAACATGGGGG